CGGAGCCCACTTCAGATTCTGTGTCTGTATCTTTCTCTGACCCTCCCCTGCTCACTCTCTGTCTCTCTCTCAAAATAAATAAACATTAAAAAACTAAATATATATATATATATATATTAAAATTTAAAAAGAAAGAAAAAAACTTGAGCTTCACTAACTTGGGCCCTTTCAGGTCCTGAAAGATACCCTAGCAATTTTGTATTCGTAATTTTTTTTTCTTAAAGATATTCCCCCAAATTGTAGTTTAGTTTCAACAAAACCCCTAAGAAGGGAATATAGTGGAAGAGTGGAATATAAGAAGGTGCTATAGTCTAGCATTCTCTAGAAATGCCTCAAAAGGGTCAGTAACCTGCTGTATTAGCTATTTCCAAGTCCAAATGACCACCAGTCTTTGGCCACCCTTTGTATTTATTAAATTATATCGATAAGACTAGTAGAAGTGGAAGAGATAATGTTGAAGTCTTTACAATCTAAGCAATTGACTTTCCTTTTATGCCAATATTTAGGAATTCTTTCCTCTTAGTTTGCTATTGAATTGAAAGTTTCTATTGAATTTATATTTCTGCATAACAATTATACCTTCAGAAGCAGTTATAAGTGAGATGTCAAATAGAACTATTTTGTATGTTTGTTGCATGTTCATGCTCTGGAAACATGCTTTAGAGGTCAAAACCATGAAAAACTAGATTTCTATTTAGATGGAGATTTATCATTATTTGTGAGCTATGTCCAGTATGATTTCACTTTAAAACCACAAATACAGTTTTAACAATCGGCATTTTTCTTGTTGAGAGGTCTGTGGTCAGACTAAATATCTCTCTGAACCTGATTAGGTCCTGAGGTTTTTAAATTCAATATTCAGCAAATATAGAGCATTTGTTAGGCCATAAGAAATAATTAAGAACTCCAAAGCTACTGTAGGTCTCCCTGAGTCTGCCCCCCTTTTCTGATGATAATCGGACATAACCTTGTCTGGTCCCAGGCCTCACCGTACATAAGACTGGGACAGAAGACTCACATACAATTAATCTTTTGAGGATTTAGGTGACATTGCTTTAGGTTTTTACATTAGCAAGCCCTTTGTTTGCTAGTACTCAAGTAATGGAATTTTAAGTATTATTAAATGCTTTATTTCTTCTTCCTCATTCCTAACTATCCTGAATCCAGAAAAACAGACAGACACATGGTCATTCTGTGAAGACAAAAGAACATTGAACAGTAAATTATACAACAGCCGGAACGGTCCACTGTGTATTCATTCTTGTAATGGAACACTGGTGGGTACATTAGCATATTTAGTTTGAATTTTTATAAAATAGAGATGGGATTGTTCTAGCAGTTTCACAGTGTGCATAGCTACCATCATACTCCATGGACGATCTGACTCAAAATAATGCAAGTCTCTGAATAATGGGAAGGGGAAATGTTCTATAAACAATTCACAAGGGTTGGGTACCTCCACTGACAAGATATATTTAACAAACTCTAAAACCCACTTTTCCCAGGGACGTGTGGGTGGCTCAGTTGGTTAAGCGTCTGACTTAGGCTCAGGTCATGATCTCACGGTTCGTGGATTCGAGCCCCACATGGGGCTCTGTGCTGACAGCTCAGAGCCTGGAGCCTACTTTCAGTTCTGTGTCTCCCTCTCTCCGCCCCACCCCTGCTCTTGTTCTCTCTCTCTCTCTCTCTCTCTCTCAAAAATAAACATTAAAAAATTTTTTTCAATCCACTTTTCCTATATAAACACAGTATCACTGTATTCCCATGGACTGCATTTACTTTCTTAGAGCTGAACTTTTTTCCAATGTTAGGCCTAAAATAAAATATGCAGAAATCTTTGAACTGTTTCTGTATCATTTTCATTGCTGGAGGGTACCTCCAGAGGTCACCTAGTTCACCCCGATCTCCAGCCAGGACTCTCCCTAATACTGAATATAGCTATATAGTGATCTGCATTAAGAAAGCTTTTAAAGATCCCTGGGGTTGGTCAAAAAATAGCTAATATTGGTCTGATTCATAGGACAACATTATACATATGTCAAAACAGCCACCTTTATCAAGGAAGACATCCATCAGGGTTAAGTGCTAGCTACAGCTTCAAAAGGAAAAGCTTTATTTTCTCGGAGAAAATGGTGGTAGATTAAGGAAATGACCAAGCGTGTTGGTATTTTACTGTTGTTGTTGTTGTTGTTTAGGTATACATTTAATGCTTATCAAAAAGGAAACATTGTCTTGTCAAAGACCGCTGCAGGGGAAGCCCTGAGGTGGCTGGAGCAAGATCACAGCTCCTGTCACAAGTCCTTTCAAATAGCCACAAAGCTGGGAGTAGAAGGGTGAGGTGGGGCTGTTTTTCAAACAAGATCTGATTAGCATCAAGTCAATGGAGGGCAGATGGTGAAACACAAGAATAATATCAACAATCTGAAACTACTATCATACTGTATGTTAACGAGCAGAACTTTAAATAAAAATCTTTAAAAAAGAGGGTGAAAATGTGAAAAACAAAACAAAAAAAAAGAATAATATTGACAGACCTGAGTTCTACGCGATCTCTTCAACTCCACTAAACCGTGGGTGCAAAAGACAAGAATTTGAGGGTAACTTCAATCTCCTAAGACAATCGCATCACAGTTTTACAGGGATAGTAATCACCCACAACTGTTAGACTTCTGAATTATTGGACTTAAAGCGTGACGCTAGGGGCGCCTGGGTGGCTCAGTCGGTTGAGCGTCCGACTTTGGCTCAGGTCATGATGTCGCAGTTCATGAGTTTGAGCCCTACATCCAGGCTTGCTGCTGTCAGCTCAGAGCCCTCTTCGGATCCTCTGGTCGCCTTCTCTCTCTGCCCCTCCCCCGCTTGTGCGCGCGCTCTCTCTCTCTCTCTCTCTCAAAAATAAATAAAACATTAAAAAAAACCAAAGCACTACATTAGAATTTAGAAATCTGGGTAAAAGGAGAGCTTAAAAGTTCTTATCTGGATTATCTGGGCCTTTATGCTTTTTGGTTGAACTATAGAGAGATTTTAAAGATACAGCTATAACTATTCATAAAGTGAGGACCTGCCCTGACAATTGTCTCAAGTATCCACTTGGCTTTGTGTATGACTGTTGCATTTTTTTCACATAATATTTCTGTAAGGTTGCATAAAAGCCTAGTCAACCATGAGTGCTTTCAGGGTTAGAAGCTAGGAGTTTGGGTGAAAACAAGTTTATCACATACCCACCCTCTTGCCAACTTTCAAATTTTGTGCTTCTTTCAAAGAATTCTTTGAAAATATTTCACCTTTCAAAACGGAGACACCTCTGTGCTGTCTTAGTAGGCCAGATGCTTAGTCTGGGTTACAGGAAGTGGAAAGTCTCTGCCAGCTTCCTTTGTAATTCCTGACTTTGGAAATGGGAATTCAGCCATTGAGAACTTTTTGATATGCAGCTGCCTTTCTCAGAGAATGCAAACCAACTAACAAAATCTTCAGGTTGCCTTTTCCTTGCCTGAGAGCAAGAGGTAAAAGAATCAGGAGGTCATTCTGCAGTGTCTTCTTGGCTTTACGACATTCCCACAGTGGACACCTTTGAGTTAATGTGCAGTCTCTGTATTCACCATAAAACTCAGGCACTCAAAGTATAGTACCTCCTTAGTTACTTGAATATTTGGCAGAGTAGTTTTTTTTTCACCCTTAAACTGCTCAGATAATTGTCCGTTACTTGTTTGTGTAAACAACCTATAAAAAATGTGTTTGTTACTTTTTAAAGTTATTAGTCAAAAATTTCCCAGAGCAGAATCAAGAAATTCCAAATTGAAGAAACCCCATTAGCTTTTAAGAAAAATCATGGAAATGAAAGGAGCGTAAGGAAAGACAGAGAGTAGCAGATTCTGTAATTTTTATTACAAAAAAAAAGTTCGAACTCTTTACATGCTATGACATTCAATGCCATGGAGAAGTTCATTGCAAGCAAACATTTTAAAAAATATACATACTGTATATATTTACATTCAAGTCTGAGTAGTTGGTGTCAAGGTGTAGTTCAGGTTCGAATCTTCACCCACCCTGTGGATTTGTTCAGCTACTAACTAAACAGCGATTGTATCTTCACTCAGGCACATGAAGAGGTAGAAACTGCTTTTTAAAGAAAAAAACAACAAAACTGGAGTGCAAATGTGAAGATCATCTTTGAAGCAGCTTATCTACATCAAGGAGGCCCTAACTAGCTTTGGTCATCTCAAGCTGAATACATGTAGCCCGTCCTTTAAATTAAAATCTGGAAAACTTTGGGTAGATGTTCTTCTGAGTACATCAGGGGTTGTCAGAGATCAGCAACTCTGCCACTCGGCACCCAAGAATTGCATATGACTAAGTTAGGCGACATAGCAGCAGGGCTGGGCTGGCAGCTGGGCACCTTTTCCCTGATAAGACACAAATAAAACACAAACGAGTGGCTTAAGAGACCTCAAATTGATATCTGTACACCTACAGCCTAGAACTCAGAAGCCGACTAGGATACCTCGTTTCCCAAGTGAAACCTCTATCCCAAACTGAGCTAGTAAGTCTAGACGGGGGAGGTGACCTATGACTTCTGCAGGCCAAGGTTTCTCAGCCCCAAGACTAAACCTCATGACGGCTCTTGGGCCTGAGAAGGGCTCCCTGGGCTCTTGTCAGACTTGGTGGTGCTCGTTCCTGAGACGGGGAGTTGGAGGGAAGCCACAGGGGTGGCCGAGGGGAGAAGCCCTTCTCGTTCTCTTTTCTTCTGTTTCATCCTGCGGTTCTGGAACCAGATTTTGACTTGCGTATCATTCAGCTGCAAGGAGTTGGCTATCTCGATGCGTCGGGCTCGAGTTAAGTACTTATTGAAATGAAACTCCTTCTCCAGTTCTGTCAGTTGCTTGGTGCTGAAATTCGTGCGGATCGCGCTGGAGGGGCTAGCGGCTCCATACTCGGCGAGTTTGCCTGCAACATAAAGACAGGGCATCGGTGGGGTGAGAGGACGCGGACGTAGAACGCGGGCGAGCAGCGGGGCCGGTGAGAATCAAAATCACAGCTCAGCTCTCCTGGGTCTCTGTAGACGCAAGTTGTGCCAGAAGAAACGCCCCACGGAGAGCGCCTTCCCGAAATTTCCTCAATGCCTGGCACATTTTCGGAGCGTGTACTTGGGGCACGCTCAATGGAATGCGCCTACTTTAACAGCGCTGCGGGACGCATTTCCTTCCTAAGTCCTAAATCGCCGTCCAGAGGGGCAGCTGCAACGCGCTCCCAGCACAATTCTGCGGAGGAGGCTCCGATCCCAACCCCAGTCGCGTCCGTCCAAGGCCCAGATACTTACTTTTCTTAGGGGCGTTCCTCTTCACTTTCATCCACTCGAAGGTGCTGAAGGCGGCGGGGAGGCCGGAGGCCGGCGACGCAGACTTGGGGTAGGCGCCAGGGGCCGGGGACGCGGTCTGGAAGGTCCCAGGGTGGCCGTCGGCTGGCTCTTTCAGACACTCCGGCAAGGGGCCGGGCTCGCCGAAAGCCGCGTAATCCACCTGGCCGCTGAGGAGAAAGGAGCCACTGCCCGAGAAGACGGCTGAGGTGGCGTAGTGGACGTGCGCCCCGCCGTCGTCGGCCGGCCGCCCGAGCGCGCACGGGAAGTCGTACGCCGGCCCCGGCCCCAGGAAGCCGTAGTCCGCGCCCCCTGCCGCGGCAGGTGCGGCCCCCGGCTCGTAGGCGCCCTCCAGGGTGCACGGCGCGTAGGAGGGCGCGGCCGAGGGCGGCGCGGGGGGTGGCGCGGGGGTGGCCGGGGGCAAAGGCGCAGGTCGGGCGGCGGCCAGGGGCAGGCAGCTGACGAAGGCGCCGTCGCCGCTGCCCAAGGGGAAGGCGGGCTGCAGGGCCACGGGCCGGGCGTCGGCGCGGCAGAACTTGGGCGCGAAGCTGAGCGCCTCGCCGCCGCCCCCGCCGCTGCCGCACGACACGTACTCCAGGTAGGAGCTCATGGTTCCGGCCCACCCGCCTGAGCGGGGGCCCGAGCGCGGGGCCGGGCAGGACCGCCGCGGGCTGCGCCGTTCCGCCTTTCCTCTCTACCCGAACTGCCTTCGCCGAGCCATGGCGAGCGGGCCGGAGGTAAATAGTGGCCTAATATAGCAGCGGGGGTGGCCACGTGGCGCTGGCCGGCCAATGGGCGCCTGCCCCGCACGGCCGGGGTCCCGACTGGCGCGCTGCTCCACGCGCCTGCCCCGCCGCCAACTTTGCCAAACCTGCGGGTGGCCGCCGTCCAGCGCGCTCAGGCCGCGGGGAGAGCGGGCGCGGCCCCGGGGCGGCGTGAAGAAGGGCGGGGCGAGAGCGCCGGACGCCTGCCCCCCGGGACGGGCACTGGACGAAGCGGGAGGAGAAAGGCAAGACTAGCCGCTCGGGTGAGGACGAGAGGATAGAGGGCGAGACGCTTGTTCTTCTGGATCGGTGGGTGGCTGATCCCTCGGGTGCGGATAGTGGGCACTGAGGTGGGGAAGGGGTTAAAAGGGAGCGTGGAGTTCGACCCGTGGGCACTGTTCAGAGCCCTATGCGCTTTCGGTTTTCCTGGCACTGCTGTTACCCTTCCCCTAAACCTAGAGGACGTGTTTACTTTTCCCTCGCTTTCAGCCTGCGTCCGATTCACCGGACTGAATGTTGTGCCCTAGGCGCTGTGTACCTGGGGCGGCATCAGATATTCACGTTTAGACGAGATTTTCACGTTACTTCGGCAGAGTCCCTTCAGGTTCCGCTCTTACCGTTTGTGGAGTCAAGGTGGGGGCGAGCGCCAGGTTTTGATTGGGACAAAAGATAAGGTTTCTGCCTTGCGGAGAAGTTTACCAGGCTTCCCCCATAACTGGGTTATCCAAATACAGCATCTGCGCTTGTGGTTGAACGCTCGTGCTCCTCTCCGGGAGGCTGGCTCCCGCACCCGGGCTGCGCACGCTCTGGCTGGGGCGCTTGGCTGGAGGGTGCAGAGGCTTCCCAGGGAGCCGTCAGATCTCAGAGGTTTGGACGGGCTTGTACCTTGAAGCAATTAAAGCTTCTGTTCCATCAGATAAGTGCTGCGTCGTCTCTTGCGAGTGAAATCTGAGGGCTCACAATGTTAATGGGCTCACGTCTTTCCCTTGATAATACGGTTTTGTTTACTGAGCGTGGAGAGACGGGAAATAAAAGTGCAACTGGCACAGGAAATGAAGAGTAGAAAGGTTACAAAGACCGGCTTTACATGCACAAACTTTTCAACTTCCTTGAACATTTCTTTGGGGCTGCAGGAAAATAGCAAAACTATATAAATAAATGTTATTTACACACAGCAGTCATGAGAGAGGGTGGCTTCCTAAAACTGTGTGAATACGGTCTACTCTTGACTTATTCAAGTGCCCTTGAGAATTTGATCTATTATAGCCTCTTAGTTATGGTGACGGAGGTTTTATTATTGTTTCACTGATCCACTTGTCATGCAAGAGCGATTGAGCCCTTGCCTAAAATTCCACTCTGAGGAAGCGGGGAAAATAGGAGCCATCACAGTCCAGGGAGCCAGTTCCTTACAGGGATGTGAACCTGTGAATAAACAGAGCCACACCAGACGTGTTACCCTGGTGAGGCTGAAGTTGAGCCAAGGTGGGGAGGGGGGAGGTGGAGGGTACCCAGCTAGGAGTGAGCACAAAGCGAATAGTTCTGGTGTTGCGGCACTGCTGGAGTTCTGGGATTTGGTTGGGAAGTGGAATCCTGTGCTGAAAATGGCCCTTCAAACTTGATGTTGCTACTTCAGTCTTTTCCTTTAGCCAATCAGATGACAAAGGTCCTAAATAGTTCTTTGAAAGAGAAAAATAGAGTCTCTTTTCTAGCTCTCTGGACAGGGAATGGTAGAGCTCTTCAGACCTAGCTGAGACTTCATATGTAGAAACATTTTTTTGCTGTCCCCAACTCTGATGGCCATACAAAAATATCAGCGACCCAGATGCTGCTGAGTTCACATAACACCTCATGCACCCCTGGCTAGACTTTAAGAGCCAGTTTTTACCAGGATAGTGACCTAGCATGCACACCTCTGTCTATATCAGTCTTTCTCTCGAAAGGTTTTCGGTTAATCACAACTCCTAGCCCAGAAGCCCCAGCAGGTCAAGAAGGAAGATGGCCTTCTAAACCTCTCTGGAGAAGGCATCCTGCAGGCTGCAACTCAGGATGTAGGACAAAACTAAGCCTAATTGCTCGGCAGATCTGACCAAAACCTATCACACTAAGGGCCTTTGCTCTAAGGTTTCAGGGAAAACAGGCAGCCTAGGTGCCATGGCAAACTTCATTGCAACAGAGACCAGCCTTCTGCTGCTAAGCACTTGGGGCAAAGGTTGGGTCCTTCCTGTCACAATTAAGCATTGACTTTGATCCACCCATGAGCTGTCTACACTGTTTCTCTGAAGCAAATTTTGGAGATTGAACTTTTGCTGGTGGAAGAAAATGTCCTAAAAGAGAATGAGATTTTTTTCTTGAAATTGTATTGTTTTGTTTTCAGAACTATGAGTGAGAGTTGCCGGGAGGAGGGTGTTCACTATTCGTTCAGACCCAATTGCAGTTCAATGATCATTGCGTACAGAGAGCTACATTCTGTTCGTCCTTCTCTCTACTCCCTTTAACCTCTCAGGCTTTGGCATATCCTACACCTTGGGGCCAAGAGCTGCCATCTCAACTCCTGGACTGGTCCTTGACTTACTCATATTGGAGCCGAGACTCTGGTCATCTCAGACTCAGATTCATCATTTCCCAAGGACCTACTGTGTAAGAACATTTTGTTAGGGGAGGTCTAGGCTGCACAAAAAAAGATACTCTCAAACCAAAGGAACAAGGGATTCATTTCTGGCACAGGTCTCAACTATGCTATAAATCTACTCCAGAAGAATGTGAATCTATAGTTCTCTAAGGAGAGATTGGAAGATATTATTGGAGGAGCTATATGCAGAAAGATGTGAACATAGGATATTTTGAGTAACTTTAAAGTTTGTCTCCTAGATGTTCACAGAGTATGGGAGAAATGTCTTACTAATTTTATTGCTTGTTCAAGTCATGAATTCCCAAGGGTCACTTGCCCTGCCAGGTCCGGGTGCTGTGAGTTCTCAGCAGGAGGTGACAGCAGAGGGGCCTGATTGCCAGGTTGTGTTTGATGTAGGAATGCTTTGAAATCTCTCCCATACTGCTAACCAGGGCAGCCACCCTGAAACCCCACCCCCCATGACAACCTTTGTCTCTCATTCAAACAACAAACTTTTTTTTCTCCTGCAGACAGAAGACAGAAGTGAGGGAGGGTGACACTCTGGTCTTCTGTATGTTTACAGTTGTTCCTAAGAAGCGTCTTGCAACCCCTCTCCACGAGCCTCTTCATGTTACCCCTTGGAGACGCTTTGAGCACATGCAGACTTTTGGCTCCACAGCCCCAAACGGTAGAAGGGCTCTTGCTTGTTGGGGTGAAGAGCGGGGGGGGGGGGAGTCTGGGCTTTTCTCTCAAGCAAGATTTGTAGTTCTCTGCAGAAGCCTTCAGTCATCCCATGATGGAAGTGGGGGTGAAGGACAGGAATTCTAAACCTATCAGAAGCCTGATAACAGGACCCTCCTTGAGGAAAACAGTTTGGAGTGCTGTGCCTTTCCCTGAGAGCTTTGTGAATGAAAGGCTTATGGGTCAAGCTCTTGCCTGGCACACAGTAAACATACAAGAAATGTTTGTTGGACAGAAATAAAAATGGACAGAATGGTGTGTTTTTACCATGACTAATATCGGATAAAAGATATCTTTAGATAACGGCTCCCAAAACCAACTCATGTGGGTGGAAATCAGCATAGAAGCTTCTTTAAAAGTGCAGGTTCCTGAGCCCACCCAAGAGATTTTTATCTAGTATGCCTGACTCCAGTAGGAGCTGTGATAAGCCTCTTGAGTGATTCTCAAGCAGGGTTCTTGGGAACCATATTTTGAGAATTTCTGCCTCTCAGAAATTGGGGTGGGCAATGTGGGAAGAGAGGGGTAATTCGGTGGGAGGGGCCCTTGGCTAGCATCATGAGAGCTCATGGCTAGCGGGAACATTATACCTGAACAGTGCCCAGAAGCCTCTTGGGTGGTAGGGGCAGAGAATGTGAAATGGCTCTCACATTTTGGTTTGGCAGCCTAAGTCTAGTTGGGGTGAAGTTTTATAAAATATCCTTAAGTAGTAGTCAGTAGAACTTTCCCAAGTTTTGCTGATAAAATAGTGCTTTGCAGAGACCTGGCTTCCGCTCCTTGTCACCTTCCTAACTTGGCTTTAGGGTTGCCAGTAAGGTAGGAAGTGAAAGGCGTTTGTCTCTCCCAGTCTCTTTAGAGAAAATGTAGAGTAGTTCTGAGGTAATGGAAAGAAGGAAGGAGGAGTAGGAATAGGAGTCTCAAGAGGGCGGAGCCAACTCTTCTTTCCTTCCACCTCTCCCAAATTGTCTGGAATGAACATCTGAGCCACGGGGAGCCAGAGGGGATGAAATGTCCCTTGGCCTAAGCTGTAACTCTTCCTTTGATTAAATTTCAAGATGTCATAAAATGTCAGTGCAAGAAGGCCCCTTAGAGATGAGTGACATTGAACCCCTCATTTCAGAGAGGAAGTAACTTTACTCAGAGGTTAAAAGACAAAACTATCGGGGTGCCTGGGTGGCTCAGTCGGCTGGGCGTCCGACTTTGGCTCAGGACATGATCTTGCAGTCTGTGAGTTCAAGCCCCGCATTGGTCTCTGTGCTGACAGCTCAGAGCCTGAAGCCTGCTTTGGATTCTGTCTCCCTCGCTCTCTGCCCCTCCCCCACTCCTGCTCTGTCTCTCTCTCTCTCTCTCTCAAAAATAAATAAACATTAAAAAAAAAAAAAAGACAAAACTACCCTGCAAAAAATGAGGGAACTAACTTGGGTCTCCCGACTGTCTACAGTCTGCTGCCTGTCCACAGTGTACGAAGAGGAAAGAGTAAAACAGCCCCTCCTTTGCACTGTGGAAGGGTCAATGCTGAGCAAGCAGAGCAGTGTTGAAGGAGACACCCTTGTTTCTGGGAGGCCACACAGGCAGTGTGACTGCCTGGGAGGCTTGCTGGCCTCCCTTTGCAATTTGCTGAACTGGTGCTCCAGACTTCTGAGGCCCAACCTTGAGCTACTCCTAGAGAAGGCAGAGATGGATCTGGGTCCCCACCCCCTCCACCACGCAAGGGTTAAGGATCCCCTCATTTCCCGCTGAGCTTGATCCCTGGGGGATCAAAACCAGAGGTGTCTTTCCATTAATGTAACTGGATAGTACAAATTTAGGACCGTGTGAACACAGGTATGCCCAGGTCGGTTACACTTGTACTAATCTTTTTCTCCTTTATTTTTTAAATAGGGTATACATTGAAATTTACATGGTTCAAGATTCAGAGGGTACACAGTGGTATGCAGTGAGCATCTTTCTCCCATCACCTAGTTCTCCTTCACATAGGCACCAGTTAAGAGTTTCTTACATATCTTTCCAGAGATACCTTATATGTTTCTATCTATGTATAAATCCCCCCACGTTTTTTGGGGTTTGTTTTTTTTTTTTTTTTTGCTTAAATGATGGTGTACCAGACAGACTCTCTCGCACCATGTTTTTTCCCCTGTTGTATCTTGAAGATCATTTCCTATAAATGCATACAGAACTTCCTGGCTTATTTTTACAACTTCATGCTGGTCTGCTGTACACACCTACCACAATTTATTTAACTAATCCCCTATTAATGGATATTTCGCTTATTATTCATTGTTTTCCCATTACAAACACATGTTCAAGTTTTTAACCTATTAGAAAAATCCCCAGACATGGAATTACTTAGTCAAAAGTACGTGCGCTGGCAATCTTGACGCAGATTGCCATATTGCTCTCCTTAGATGTGAATCACTTTATGCTTCTGCCAGCAACATGTGAGAATTCCTGTTACCTCATACCCTTGCCAAGTCAGTGGGATAGTAAAAGTTTTTATTTTTGCCAGTCTGATAAATAAAGAATAATACCTTTTACTTATCCTTATAGCATCTCCAAAAATGCCATTCTTTTTTATCTTGTTTGATCCTTTCATAATTCTAGTTTACAAATGGTAATGGCGACACAGAAAAAGATAAACTGTTGGTCGTTATCACACCCAATGTAAATGGCCAAGGTCAGACGTTCAGCACTCTTTCCTGTACTGCACTGTGCCCCGAGGAAGCCTAAGGAGATTCAGAGAGAGTGGGTGGCTTCAAGCATTCCCTGAAAGACACATGATATAAAAAAGCTTTCCGACATCTGCTAAGAGGCCTCCTCCTTAGTGGTCTGATACCAAGACCACATTTCTGCATGTGTCCCTGGAGAGTACCCTCCGGAAGCAGAGGAGCTCTAATTAGCAATATGATCTGACCTAGTCCTAAGCATTAGCCTGTATTCAATATCTGGGAAGCAGTAGGTGTTGTTTTTAATTTTCCTGAGACTTATTTCTCACTGGACATCCAGGATCTAAGTTATTGATCAGCATGGTGTGGGTAAGAGGATGTTTTCGCTCGGTTTTAGCTTTGCCTGTGACTCTCATTTAGACCTGGTGAAGATACCTGGTGAAGATAACACACACACACACACACACACACACACACACACACACACACACGCAACTTTACTGATAAACTTATGAGGTAGATATCTATTGACTGTTTCACTGAAGATGAAACTGAAGGCCAGAAAGATTAAGTGTATTGTTGAGGGTCATACAATGTATCAGCAAAACAGAAAATACAGTGTAGACCTAAAACAGAAGTCCTTAGTTTCCCCCTGCAAAATCTTCTTTGTCCCCTTCCTGTATTCATTTTGGTGAGCGACCTGGCTACCCAATCAGGGCCTCTAAATAGAAGCCTGGGGATTAACATCCATAACTCCTCTTTCACTTGTCCAACTGTCAGCAAGTCCTGTGAATTTGTCCTCCTAAATGTCTTCCCTCTTCATCCTCGTTACCTTAGATCCTCCCTAGGCTGGATTATTGCAGCAGCTTCCCCTTCTTCTTTCCTTCTTGCCTCCCCTCCCTCCTCCAGTCAGACACAGCATCCCTCCCAAAGAGCAAGCTTTCCAAATGGATAACGTCATGTCCCAGTTTAAAACCTTCAGTGGCTTTCACTGCCTGCAGATTAATTCCAGACTCCTTTCCACGGACCCCATACAACCTCTTTTGCCAGCCAGATGCTCTACTCCAAACTCTCTTGGTTCCAGGTCTAGACCTTGTTCTTTCTTCCCTCCCTGCTTGCGTGTGCTGCTCTTTCCACCGAGTATGTCCCTCCTTCCTAGACCTAAAAAGCTCATACTTCAGGAATCAAAATTCACCTCCTCTGAGAAGCCTTTTCTGACACTACACTTGTGTCAGTGGCTCCTTCTCTTTATTCCAGGAACCTTTAGGCCATACTTCTGTTCTAGCATCTGTCACAGTTTTAGGATTCTTTTTCTTCCCCAGTAGATCAAAAGGCATTAGTGACCCATTTTTAGATCTCAGAGCCCAGCACAGTGCACACAGGAGCTGTTCAGCAGGTATTGCTGAAAGGCAAGGAGAGAGAGAGACTCTGACCCAAGGACAAGAGGACCAGTATTTTAATTGCTTAAAGAGTTCAGGACACTCTCTGTCCCAAAAATAAAATAAAAAACGTTGAAAAAAAAAATTAGGGGCGCCTGGGTGGCGCAGTCGGTTAAGCGTCCGACTTCAGCCAGGTCACGGTCTCGCGGTCCGTGAGTTCGAGCCCCGCGTCGGGCTCTGGGCTGATGGCTCAGAGCCTGGAGCCTATTTCTGATTCTGTGTCTCCCTCTCTCTCTGCCCCTCCCCCGTTCATGCTCTGTCTCTCTCTGTCCCAAAAATAAAATAAAAAACGTTGAAAAAAAAAAAAGGTTCAGGACACTGTGCAAGACTTAATGCTACAGCTTCTATCTATCTAAAGTAAAATGATAGTAGAACATCTCTCGAAACAAGTTAATTTCCACCTGAGAGGATGCTGAGAGAGAAGACAGGGAGGGAGGAGCTGGGATTTTGTCTTTCAGGGGCTCTTTCCTATAGGCTAAGGCAACAACTTTTAACTAACGTCAGAAATTTCTCAGCTGATGTCACTCAAAAAGAGGGTAAAAGAGGGGGTAGCCTGAAACTTTCTTAGAACTTACCGAGGACTACAAGCACCACCATAAGAACGCTTCACCACCCACTTTACCCATGACCTCCTGCTGCAAACAGCTCTAATGCTAATGACCTCCTTCTCTCTCCCTCCACCAACGCTCACAGTTTTCAGTCTATCCCTTTCTGGTATTTCTAAAATGAACCCCAAAAGAGCTGAAGTAAAAATACTCCAGTCCTTCCTTCACACTTGAAAAGAGAGGAGAGGCATATCATTATGGTTGGCATTTTACGTGTATTTTTATTGTTCTTTTTTATATGGCATTCAGGTTTAGTTCCAAGTTTAACAGGGATACCCTTGCTTCCTTCCAAATAAATGACTCCTGCAGGTAAATAAGAGAACTAAACTAGCTCCGCCCCATCCCTGAATTCTAGTCCCCTGGGAATCTTTTTTTTTTTTTTTTTTAAGACTCTTACATAGTGTCTGCAAAACCTGGGATTTTCCTCTTCCCTTTCCAGGGGTACAGCTGCGCTAAGCGTGTGACGGGGGGCGGGGAGCAGGGGGGGCAGGGTATACAGTCTCCGTGCGTCTGGGGCGGGCGCGGGGGCCGCCCCTTAGGAGAGCCGTGGGCTGCAAGGGGTCCGGAGGCGGGGCCGGCAGGCGGCCGGGGGTACCGGGAGTGGGGGGGGGGGGGTGTCCGGCCTCGCGCCGCAGAGCTTGGGGCAGCGGGTCGCGCCCTCCGTGAGCGCTCACCCCGGGTGCCTGTGTCTCCTCTGCTTGCGGTTTCTGGTCGGCTCCCAGCTGGCCCAGACTTGCTCTGAAGTAGGAGGAACCGCTGTCGAGTGAAAAGTGCACACCGGGTGATTGATGAATTCTTAATAGGACTAACCTCTCCCGCCGGGGGGGGGGGGG